TTTTATGCCAACCTTCCTGAAGCTTCTGATGATTAAGTTTTTGTTCTTGGAAAAATGGTAGAATTTACTCCAAATAAAATAAATGTGTTTTATTTTGTAGAAGATGTGTATAGATGCAAGTATCATTTTTTTTCTGTTACAAATCAGGCTTTAGATGAAGTTATTTCTTTTCTGACTAGTGAGAAAGGGGCTTGGAAAATAAAAAATGGAGTTAAGATTAACTTTCCCCGTACTAGTTTAAATGTAGTAGCTAAGGCCTGAAATTATTTTATTTATGGAAGAATGAATCCAACGAACCATCATAGTGAGGTTACCAAAGATAAAACCATCCTGAACTATTGTATTCAACAAGTTATGGACATAAATGTGGGTATATTATTTTTATGAACATTAGATCTATTGCTCGGGGAGAGACTTCTGGTGGATTGTCACACCCTGCTCTTATTTACACACTTTGTGAACAGACAGAAGTTGATTTTAGATCTGATGAGGAGAGGATTGAGCCTCAGAGACCTATTGAGTCTGCAAACATCAAAACATATGAATCTCATGTTGACTTGAGATCTGACAGTAGGGCTAGAGATATTCCTTCTACTTCTAGGGATATTCCTTCTACCTCTCATGGACCTACTTCTAGTGACCCCAGTAACAGAGAACTTTTGGATCAGATGATGATACAACAGGGAGATATTTTGAGGATGGATTATAGGATGGAAGCTAGAAATGCTCACACTGATGATTTGATTCGGCAAAAATTTGAGTATGATGCTGCTTATGATGATGACTTAGTTAGATACCTGAGGGGAGAACATTCAGTTTAGTTACCTGTTCACCCCGTGTTTACTCTATATCAGCAACAGAAGTTGGATGTTGATGAAGACGAAGATGATATTGACTAGTGATCTTTTTGATCTTTGTTTGTTTGTTTGTGTTTATACTGTGTGATTGTATTGTTTGTGTTGTGATGTTGTTTAGACTTTGTTTGTTATGTTATGTGAAACTGTAATGTGGAAGACTGTTTTCATTTTTAGGATTTAGTTTAGTTCTGTTGTTATTTTCAACACTTTGTTCTGTTTTGTGATTAGCTATTTCTTAGCAAATTTTATATGTATTATGTGCAATTTAATGTTTTTAGCCTTGTAGTTTTTATTTTAGCACCTGCAGCATTTTTAAAAATTTATGTTATAAAATCAGAATCTCCAACAAGTATAATTTTTTTTTTTATGTATTTAATGCTTTCTTTTACCCTTCATTTTTACAGCTATTCATGTAAAATTTTTTTAAAAATTTATGTTTGGGGGGAGGGAGAAGAAGAAAATTCATTTTTAGAAAGAGAGAACGTAATTTTACTTGTCCTAACTTAATTATATTTTCAAAATTTTAAATTTAACATGAGCTTTGGTATTAGATGTTAACTTTGGATAACTATATTTATGTTTCCAAATATATAGTAAATTTAAGTAAAAATTTTCAATAATAAAGGTTAATTCTAGGGGCTAAGATATTTGGTAAAAGAGAATAAGATTATGTTTTTCTATTTTTAGTAAAGAAAATTTGTATTTTTGAAGTATTAAAAATCTTAAAAGATTCA